TCTAAAACTTTATCTAGTAACCTATACAGTTTATAGCAAGCGTAATTGTAGTGCGCATCTCCACAATTATTTATCTTTGACTAGGAAAGACGTGGAAAAGGACAAGCAAAGACGCTGGAGGTTACCAAACATATAGCGGACACAATGCAATTTGTATTTGACGTATAATATCACGTAGTATAAAATACAAGACAGAACGTAATGGCTCAAAACATAACAATTGAATTTATTAGTGTTTTGGTGTACATGCATATAAGCTGAAGGTTTGAATGAGTTATGTCGCTTAGATTTGGAAATATTTGTACCAGAGCTCATAAAGATGGAGTAATTATTAAACTGAAGTTTTAGAAAAATAAAGTTCCTGTTGCATGTTAGGAAATGTGAATTGGTAAAGTTGGTAAGAGTTCAGAAGAGTTAAGACTTCGTACTTGCGTGAATTGGTAATATTCTTTAACGTCTGACCGCACGGTCAAGACGGGAGCTCTTGAAGATTACATCTTGGCAGGAATAAGATGAATGAAAAGAAAACAGAGAGAGCTTAAACGTGTTTATATATATATATATATATATATATATATATATATATATATATATATATATATGAGATGGTGTATCACGTGTCTGGCTTAAACCTTAGTGAGCAGAAATTTCATTCCTCGTGTGCAGGATGTCTGATTGGTCGGAATTGACCAATCAGCGAGCTAGTTTTGAGGAGATTAACCAATGAATTCTTGTCGCATTTGTATTTGGTGATGATAATTACCACATAATGAGTGTGGCCATATTGGACTAGGGGACGAATTTTGAAAGCACCACACAACTATGGTTTCGGTTTTGCTGTTTTGGACTTTGGGGGGGGTACTTTTTGAAATAAACTACGCCAAGTTTGGTTACGATCGAAAAAAAAGGCAATTCAAAATTCAGTCGAGCCCGTGTCTTGCAAATGGAGTTCACTTTGCTACATGGTAGCTCAGTATGTCAATCGCTAACAACTAACACGTCCTGTCTTCATTTTGAACAGAACTATATACTCACTCAACTACAAAATTCATATCTTCAGACATTTTCCTCCTCTAGAAGAACTCTGAAAAAATCTTTGAGTGTTTTAATCCTTCAATAATCTACTCGCTTAAAGAACTTTTTAGGTGCTCAGAGAAATATTTTGAGCAAGCCACTTTTTATGAACATTTTTCTTCCTTTAAAGTTAAAGACATTTTATACTCCCTTTCTTTCTCTTTTAATTGTTTTTATTGATTTTTCTTTTAGTGAGAAGGAATAGATTCTTACATTTCTCAGCAGGCATTACCCCTGGGGGTGCGGGACACTTGTGCTAACTGAACACAACAGACTCGGTTGGAATTTAAACTCGGTTCGCCGATTCCATCAATAACCATTACGATACTCTTCAATAATTTTCGATACTCTTCGATAATTTTCGATACTCTTCGATAATTTTCGATACCTTTCGATAATTTTCCGAAAATCCATTAACAAATCAAAGAGTTATTGAATTCCTTCTTTCTTATGAAGAAAATCCGATTAGTTGAAAAAGTTTCCTACCGTTTTTAAAAATGATTTCAATACTGTACATAATTATTGAATTAATACAAAAAAAAGAGTTATACGAAACTTCTGTTCTCGAAGAAGAATATTCTAACCTTTTGTATCCGCCAAAAGTTATTTATAAATTCTCGACATTCAAGTTTCAAAATTGGATCTCATGAATTTATGACCGATTGTAAAATATTAACGACACGCCTAGAGAGGGATCTTGTGGAACAAAAGGCTTTTCTTTATTTTAGAAGCATTGATACAAACAAGTTGAAAAGTGTTTTTTCATCTGTAACGTTGAGATGTATTAATCGGGGAGAGACATCGATATAAGAAAAGAGAAAAGCTCCAATTAACGACCTTTTATTCCGCCAGCCATTACTAATTGGTTCGTTCCTCAACAGGCGTTTTATTAAAACCTTGTTCAACAAATACCAAAAGTAAATCGCAATAACATTCGATACAGGAATTCTGTGAAATCATTGGAATTAAGCAGCGAAGGTTGTATTGTGACACTGAGACCTCCGGAGGTTGATCAAACAAAAAGAAAAAGAAAGAAAAAAGGAAGAGGAAAGAGTCTACTAAGTGGATGGTATTTGTTGAAATTCGTAGGAAGATAGATTAAAAAGTTGAGAAGACAATTAAAAACGAAATGCGTTGAAAAATCATATTTTAGAATAATTCCAAGGAGAATCGAACCCAAATTTAATTAGACGACATTCAATAAGATTGAGCAAAACCAAGACTACCCGTTCTTTTCCCACTTCTCGCCGATGAAAAAGAAACCATTAAGGTATCCACGAAGATGTCAGATAAAATAAAAAATATGTTCTCAATAAAAGAAACCAGGGTGTCACCGAAATAAAATTTACAAACCGCTCTGAATGAAAAGCCCTGAAGAAGAAACGTTTGATTTGATTCAACCACGCAGAATAGAAGTTTGTCCCCCACGAAGATAGAGACCGACATGACGCGTTCGTCGTTATAATTTCTGTGACATCCGTTGAAAGAAAAATTTTATATCCAAACATTAATTCGGATTCCTTTGGATACAAGTAATAAGGAAAAATTAATTACTATTTTCAAGTGACAAAAAAGCTGAGCGGTCTGTTGATCCTAAAAATGCATAAACAGAGAAAAGATAACATTTGTTTTTAAGGAAAGTGGAAATCATTTTCTTTGCCAATTCTTGAGTGGTCTGGAAAAATGGGAAAAGCTGGTAAAGAAAGATTAATGACAGAAAATTCTTTTTGATTTCGCTACGCTATCTGAAAGTTGAATTTGTCACACCAGCTTTGGGAGCGGGCTGAGGTTAGCTGCTGGAAAAGTGGGAAAAGGAAAAGAGAGGTTAGCACTGGCTATATAGAGCGATGGTGCGAGGTGAAGGGAGTTGGAGCTAAGCAGTGGCGTGACCCCTCTTACCACTCTCAAAAGGGGGCTGGACGACACCAACTTTTGAAAACCACTTGAGTAAATGTATTTTTATATATGGAGATTTAGAATAGGTCGACGCTTAGGGTAGAGGACAACTGAACTCAGACCCTTGTCAACCCCACCCATGCCGGACTCAGGATTGCATATAAGCCGGAGGTTTGGATAACTTAGAGTGTCCCCACACTACTGCCTCAGGAATCCACATCGTTCGCTGAGATCTCCTGACCAAAACCTTGTGCCGGTCCTGAATACTAGAACTTAGAAATTTAAGTTACTACTAACATTAGCTGCAAACACCAGGGAGTGGGGGTGGATTTCAGTGTCATTTGGTTATCATAATAAGTTGGAAGGGTTAAAAACGCTCTATGCAACAAATAATATATAAACCAAATCGTTGTTACATTTTTAATTCGAGTTAATTCTTTATTCCAAGGGATTCTTGTTTTTTGTTTTTTTTTTGGGGGGGGGATAGCTCCAGCTGTTGAACTTCACTTCAGTTTCCTTTATCACCGATCTTCTCACCCTGTGAGATCAAAAAAACACAACGTGGCAGAAGAGTGAATAGTTGTGAACAAACAAACGACAGCTAAGTCTAGTGGAACCGTGCCTTCCATCATGAAACCAGCGACAAACTTGTCACACGTAAAAGCGTGAAGAATCAGCTAGATGATAACCAAAGTGGTCTGAAGGAACTTGAGGACCAACGCGGAGCATAGGGTAACATTATTGCTTACCGTTCACTAGGTCCGACTAGTAGCGTTACATATTTGGTTGCCGTTGACCAGGAAGCTGGATTCTATACACAACAGTTTTTGAAAATAAACATGATTCGTATTCACCATCACTCTATCCAGTCAAGTCAGATCTCAACACAGAAAGCTTTATTTTTCATCCAATCAAGTTTCGGGATGCTGAAATTGCCTTGGAATCCTATCAACTAATATAAAAGAATTCCAAATCAATAGTAATTAGTCACGACTATTTGTTTATTTTGCTGTCATATCAATGCAACAAGAAACAAAAAATCTAACATATATATGTTTATAAATAATATAACATACTTATAATTTACAACATCATTTGTAGTAGACATAATAGTATTAAGTTAGCAGTATTTCTGAGAGGAAGTTATGTCCTTCCTTATTTTGGCCTGTTATGTGTGTGTGTGTGTGTGTGTGTGTGTGTGTGTGTGTGTGTGTGTGTGTGTGTGTGTGTGTGTGTGTGTGAAGCGAAGACAGAAATAAACCCCAAAATGTCAAAAACCTGTTTCTGAGTCAGAGGATTCGCGCATCCTTCCGGTTAATAAATTAATCCTTTGAAAATAAATATTTAATATTTTTCAACCAATGGATGGCGTTCCTGCTAACAATAAAGACACATGCTTCGTGACCCCTTTGAAGAGAATTTAAGTAAAGTCTCTAAACGGACAAAATCAGAAAGGAGAAGGAGCGGCAACATACGGCAATATTCACGACGGTGCGTCTTAAAGAAAAATCCCTTACACATTTACCCCTTTTCCTCGGCAAGCTATGTGACACTCTCCTTCTCACTTTCTCTCTTGTCTCTTTTTCACACATACAAGCAAAGAATTCGCATTTCTTTTCATCTTAACAATTAACTAAAAAAGGAATGCTGATTAACATTTAGTTATAAAAACGCGAAAATATTTTTATATTTAAAAAACTTTCTCGTCTTTTTTTTTGTTGTGGGTTGATTCAAATCCAACATATATATATATATATATATATATATATATATATATATATATATATATATATATATATATATAATTGGGAGACAGGAGTTGGAGATTGAGAGGAAAAACAATCTACATTTCAAAAGTTAAAAAACGGTTATAAAATTTTAAAAATATATACAGGTATCAATGTTAGCACATTCTCCAAACTTGACATTTTTAAATAACAACAAATTGACTTAGCCTAAAGGCAATAAATCTTCACGATGATCGATTTGATACTGTATCGATATTACAAATAGGAACTCCTTTCTAAATGTTCAAACACGGGTTCCCGTACGTTCACCGAAGTTAAGCAATGTCAAGCCTGTTCATGTACCTAGATAGGGTGACCGCTGGGGAATACCAGGTGCCGTAATCTTGGAGGTGCCAGTGGTGTAATGGATAATGGCTCGGAATTGTCACTCGGAATTGAGTCAAGTTTCAGTTTCAGTTGAGTTCTTTATATTCACTTACGCGCAAATACCCTTGAGGAAGTGGGGTATGTGTACAACTCTTTTGTCTCCATCTATGGATTAATTAGCACGACTTGTATCGTTAAAACCATTATTATCACAAAAAAAAAATTTAGATTTCCGCATTAAATAATCCGCAGATGATTATTTTTCGCTAAAAAAAAAAAATCAACCAACTCTTTCTGAATCGATAACGAATCAATATTTTTCGATTCTGACAAGTGTCACGTCTTAATGAAGGTCTAAAAAATACTAATAAAATTTATTTCTCCACAATTTTTTATGAGTTGACTTGTTTATTTAAGTAGTGCCGAATGTAGTTATGAATAATTTGGAATAATGTCTGTTTTAACGACTTCTCTAACTCATTTCGTAAATCACTCTCCATGCTGGATGCAAATTCGAGTCACGTGAGAAGCCAAATCGTCATTTGCAATTCATTATTTAATCGTGGAATGGGAAAAAGTAAACGACCTGTGTGACCCGATAAAAAAATAAACTGATAATGATGAACCTAATTGTTATATTTGTGTCTTTTTTCTTTCCTTTTTTATAACTACGTCATCCTTATAATGGATATCACCACAAATAATAAAAACAGCCTTCTTTCCCGAGGAAAATTCTTGTGATTAACTTTTTTTCTGTGATCAGAAAGAACATTAAAATCTTAGATGAAGAGCAAATTCCCGGTACCGGAATCGGTCCATAGACGGAAAAACCCAAAACTCAACAGCAATTATTTACAATCGTATCAAAAAAGAAAAATATTTCTTTCTGGTCGTTTCAAAATGGATGTCATCGGCAATCCCATTTCTAATCAGGTTTTGTTGATACGCATGCGCGAAGACAGTTGCATGTAATCGTGCCGTCTGCTTTCATAAGTTGAATGAAACAATCGAAGTTGACACAGCGGAACGAATTCAAGGTAAGACGTTTGGAGGTATAAAAGATACATACATTTTAAGCACTCTTTTTTTATTCTTGTTCTAAACATATCTTTAATTATCACACAATATTTATTAACAAGATGTAATTTGTCAGTTATGCCGTAGGGTTAAACATTTCTGAATTTTATTTTTTTGAAATTAAAAAAAAATTGGTTGTTTGATATGCCATGTCGTTAGTTCTTTTAGGGTCTCTTGAATTGTCTTGCAATTTCATTGTCACCAACAAATGCCTTTTCTTCTCTTCATTTGCTAAGCTTAAGGCCACCATCTGTTTACAATAGCTGGTATTTCTAAGCGGTCACCTATTTTAGTATTGACCAAGTATGAATGTACTTAATTTCAGTGGTTTGTCAGATTGTATTGACCATAAGCAAGAATATATTTTCTTCTCAAAACGGCGACATTCTGTTACCTACTTTGGCATGAGGACACCGGATCACAGATATCGATTTATGGATTTAAAGTTCTCTTTTAGAAGACTTCTAATGTCTGGAAATTGAAATACAGATCGAACTATCTGTTCTGTAAAGGCCGTCTGATAAACAAAACAAACATTTTACATAAAAAGCTTTGTTTTGAAAGATACTGAATTATGTAATCGATATTTGGTCATTTTTGGTTCGATCTGGTACAAGGTCACAAAATTGGGGCGTCAAGTGAGTATCAAATTAACTACAGTGGTAATATTCTGCAACATGAATCATTCGAATAACTTCTCCACAGCGAGGTGACGTTGTGTTTTAATACTCAACCATTTTCTTTATTTTCTTACAATATTGTTTATGAATCTTTTGTAAAAAACTTTATGTGAAATATTTTAGAATACACTAACATTTCTAACCCTTTTTGGCATTTGTGGCTTTTATATATCTACTCAATACACCATTTTTAAAGAAATTAATATTTCAATGTTTTATTTCGTTATCAGAGGAAAACAGTTTTTTCTCATACAGATAAGTTCGTTTAATTATTGAGAGAATATATACACTTCTTATTTCAAATAAGATAGGTTGACATATAGAGATAAAATGCTTTAAAGAAAATTATATAGAATCCAACTCAAAAATATACTTTCTTTAGTTTTTGCAACAAATACAAAATGCCAAACAATAGTAAATAAAATCTGACTGGTTTGTTGAATTTTATGAGTTTTGTTGTTATTGTTTTATTTTTATTTATTTTTTTTTTTTTTTGGCTTTTATTTAGGGGGGGGTCATAATTAAAAGAATAAGTGCATCAAATGTTGATTGCTTTGGCTTCGTTTTATGAATGTTTAATGCTTCTCTTTAACAATACAACTTTACCATTACAAATCTTGAAACATTTTCTACTTGGTTCAAAATTAGGTTCGTTTGCTGAAAGATTTTCGAAGACACAAGTTATTTCATTGAGTTCTTTCCGAGGTTGTGCTGAAAATAAATCCTTTCAACAATAATGTCTTGTTCGTTTTGTGAGATGTTGTTCTGTCCGAAAACTTTTCAGCATGCATTCGATGATAAGACCAGAGTGCAGTCGCTTGTTGGGAAGCATGAATAAAGCTGCAGGACGCTTTCGACTTTTCTTTTTTTCTGCTTTTGGTCGTTAAAGTGCTGCACAGTCGGGTTTATGGCGACTAAACCTTTTCCCTCATCCCTTGACAGGCAGCTGGATTAAAAACAATGCCTGTCAAGGAGAGACTGGGCCTTTAGTGAACGCCAACGGTCATCTAGTACACTACTGACTGAAAGTGTTGAATCTCTTAGCTTTCATTAAAACCTGTGGCTTACGAGCAACTGGTGATGTAGACATTGTTCTTCTTTAGCAATTGTTGCTCAGAGAATGGATCAGACACGGTACACCGTCTTTCCGCTCTATAAAAAAATCCATGCTCAAGCACTGTTCCAATATGGTCTACTTGATGATGTTGATTGGTACAAATGTTAATACTCTGGAACTGTTTCAGATCAATTGCTGGATGCTACGGATGATGCAAATGTGACTCATTCTTGTAGAGCTTGTGACAAACGATGCTATTCCGTGGTTAGGGCAAAAGCTATATTCGAATGCAACAATATTAAAAAGGGATATTTCTGTATTTTTTAATGTAAAAGATAACATTTCAGTAACCACAGTGTATTTGCTTTTATTGCGACAAAAATAAGCACTCAACAATAAAAAAAATTATCTTACAACTGCATCATATTTTATTTTTATCTAAGTCAATTTTTCACAGTTGAGAACAACACATGTTACTGTTGATAAATATTATCGTCGAGAAGAATTAAGTTCAGCTGTCAAGTCAGGAGCAGTTTTCCTTCTATTTCTTCTTAAGTGTCTATCTTTAGCAGCAGTTTGTCACTTTTTATCCTCTAATTCTTTTTCTGTCGACATTTGCGCCAATTTCAAACTGCCTTTGTAACGAATATTGCACTCCATGTCTATAAATCTTCAACTGCTTGACAACTTATCTTTGAGAGTAGCCTTCTTTGAATAAAATTTCAATTTCTACACTCACCTCAATGATTAGCTGCATTGATTTTGCCATTTTGTCCAAATTTCTTCAAAACTGAAAAATAAATTTTAAAAAAATGAAAAATAGTCCCGACTAATGACACAGCCATTTTTTCTTCCAACAGAGAGAGATATATATGTTTTGTTTATAACATTAGTCACAGGGCTGAGTCAACATTTAGAATTTGCATTAATATTTAACTTCCTCGAAAATGTTAATAATCTCAAAAAGTCTACTGACGTCGTAATATTGAAAACAAAAGAGAATGTTTTCATAATTTAGCAAAATGTATCGTGGACAGACGAATCTAAATTTGACGTTTTGGGCAGTAAAAGGGGCCTGGAGAAAGAATGAAAATAGAAGTAAATACACTGTAGCGACTGAGATTTTATCATTTAGCTGTGAAAAAATAAACAAAAATATCTCATTTAATGGTTTTTTTATGGAAATGCAGAGTGTCCCCAAATATTTCAACTGTGTGTATATATATATATATATATATATATATATATATATATATATATATATATATATATATATATATTTTGATAGATGAGTTTCGTCAGACGATCGCTAAAAGCGTGAAACCCAGGGTCACAAACTCACATCTATCCAACCAAATATGTTAGCTCTATCTCTGATATTGAGCGCTTTCTAATAAGTACCGCCATATAATATATAAATAATTATACATACTTATATTTATTTATATTTATATACACTTTTCACACATATATATATATATATATATATATATATATATATATATATATATATATATATATATATATATATATATGAATGATAATAATATAGTTTTAAGGTATGCTATATTTGTAAGTAGAAGTGCCCAATATCAGAGATAGGTGCATATATGTAAATATAAAAGTGGACACTGGGATCAACACCAAACGGTGCCATTATGTCTTATGCTTGACCTCAATCCTCAGGCCATGTGTGTTGCGTTTTGGCTCGACTATTTATATATTCTGATCAAAAAGTGTCCACTATATATATATGTGTGTGTGTGTGTGTGTGTGTGTGTGTGTGTGTGTGTGTGTGTGTGTGTGTGTGTGTGTGTGTGTGTGTGTGTGTGTGTTAAGACAGAAATGTTTAATTTATACAAATTAGGTTAAAAGTCAACAAAATTATTTGTTATGAAACTTTGGTATATATATTTTTTTTCTATATTTCGGACAAATTTCGCGGTTTCTAGTGAAAGATTAAATATAATTTTGCCAGTGTATGCGTAGTTTCTGATTTCATAATCTGTTGTGTCGTGGCACAATAGTAAAAATAAGAAAATCAAGTCGAAGTTGGTTTAAAGAACAAGTGTATTTAACATCACAGATACAAAGGTAGGAAACGGGTACTACTCAGCTAGGCAGTTGTAGTACTGTCGCTGCTTACCCCGGGTAGGTATTACTGGCACTATATATAGTGAGAACCGGTGTAATTCCCCTTGT